ACAACTACTTAAGTAAAATAAATTTTTATTTTATTTTATTTTATTTTAATATAATAATAATAATAATAATAATAATAATAATAATAATAATAATAATAATAATCACGGTCATCCCTTTGTCGTCTTATTTCCTGTCGGTCTTCAATGTAAATTTTTTAAACAAGTGAAAAACTTAAAAGGTTTGGTGAAGTATTTAGTTTTCTGGTACTAATTTGGGGAGAACAAATTTTTACTCGTGGCACACGCACCCCCATACTCGCGCGTAATTTATTGAAAAAAGAAAAAAATTCCCACTATAAATTATATATAAATATATTAATTTTCAACGTAGGAGTGGTGTCGATAAAAGTCTTTTTTTTTATTCGGTTGAAGGCTTCTATTGGTTGTTATCTCAATAGACCGTGACCGATATGATAACCCATACAATTTAGCCTTAGCCCCCTGCCTAGAATTAGTTAGTTATTCGTACAACATTATTATTATTATTATTTAAATTAAAATTTTTTTCTATGTATTATTAAATAAAATACATTTTTTAAACCCATATCTATTCTCTCTCTCTCTCTCTCTCTCTCTCCATATATATTTCTTTTAATTTCTAACATTTCTTAAATCCGATTCATCAAACATTATTATCATTATTATTTAACGCGCGTAAATCCGCACTAATATATATATATATTTTTTTCCAACCGTCAGATACATTTATTTTATTCTTTTATAATAAAACAAATGATTCCTGTCAAAATTATATTGGGCATAAATACACGAATGATATATTATACTCGAAATAATATCATTATCATTATTATTATTATTATTCTCACACGTTTCATAACGTTTTGCTTTTGCTTTTGCTTTTTTTTCGAAAATGTTTGCGGCGTTGAATCGTATTTCGAGCAATTAATCGTTCGTTACGAATAAATAAATAAATAAATAAATAATGATTTTTTTTACTCTATGGAAATTAATCGTCATGACGCGACGCGTTTAAACCTAGCATTGTTCATGTTCAAACCATGCTATATATTATTTAACGAACAAAAAAAATCGTTAAACGAGGGTCAAAATATACAAGACTTGTCAATTTAATAATTGACAACTTTTATCTTATTTAATAA